TGAATTAAACACAAAAAGGGAAGATGGCAGCATTGCATGTAGCCTGTTATTGCCTTTCCCGCTCAGGGGTGTAAACAAAATGACGTACAGCGTTGTCTGGCAGTGTGAATGTTTTGTCTACGACATTCTTATACGCTTGCATGTGTGACGTCACATTTGCTGTTGTATTGAAAATTAAAAGAATAAAAGAGACGGTAGATTTTGCTCACCATACCAGTTGATATTTATGATTCATTGACTGTTTTGGCACGTTGACGCACACACCAACGAATTTTACCAATACTTTTAGAAAGTGATGATTTAGGAATACAAGAAGAAGAAGCAAAAGCAAATCGAGTGATGGTTAGTTGCCTCTTAAGTAATGTTTCCTTCACACATCGCTATGAATCATAGTAACATAATTCCGGTTACTGCTGGAAAATTTGTTGAATTAAGATAAATTAAGTGCCTTCCCATTTTTGCCAAACTTGATTCCTGTCTTTTTTTTTTAATTGTAGGTATCAAATGTAGGTTCGCAAAAACCCAAAAATTGATAACTTAAAAAAAACTCAAAAACAAACAAAAAACAATGTTGTGTAAAAAAAGCTTAAATTTTCAACGAAAATTTAAAAAATATTGCGCTTTCTGTCTACAAACCATGAAAACCATAAAAAAAACAACAATGAACAATACGAAATCCCAATTTTTTACCTGATTACCTCTCACCCCAGCAGGCCTGGGTTCAATCCCAGTCGGCGCCGCCGGGATGTTCTGAGGGGACCCGTACAGAAGGCCGAAGCACAAAAGGCCGAAACACAAAAGGCCGAAAATGTTCTAAGGTACCACAAAAGGCCGAAAATCAAAATGGCCGAAAATTGATCAAAAACTGAATTTATTGAAAACCGCATCCAAACAATCTGTTAATGATTGCACTTTATGTTTCGTTTCAGAATTAATAGAAATATCAATTTAATTTAAACCCCTAGACATGCTGTTCACAATGGCTGTGAAAAACATGCAGCGACTTGGAATAGTTTTTAATCCCCGAAAAAATATAATATTTTTTTTTTCATCAATAATGTTTTATTGTAATCTTGACAAAAATAGTAAATCTTTGAAATTTATAATCAAAGAATAATATTAAAACATTGGAACATTTTTGTCCTTCTTATTGCATATCAAAAATGAAATGTTATGAATGAAAAACGTATTTTTATCGAAGTTGCATCGCAGTTCCTGAAATCAATAATAAAAAAAAATATTGCTTAAGTCCTTTTTTGTTTTGACGACAACAAAAGAGCAACGCTGTCAACAAAGTTTACATCGGTGATATCGTCACTTTTCAAGCATATTTCTTTGATCTTTTCCAGATGGTTTCGTGATCCTTGTTGAACGTCACCTTGAAATATGTGCAGAATTCGTCCTTCAATTGCCTGCTGCTCGGTTCGCAATTCCAGGATTATTCTGGTAATTGATAAATGGTTGCATCCAACAACATCTGTCCAGCGCCTATGCCAAGCTTCGAGTGAATTGGTCGGTAAAGGCAGTTGCTCCTTCACCACTTTGTGATTCGACCAGAGGGCAGGATGAAACATCGGCCTATTGTTGCTGTTTCGTCCTGAAACGTATGTAACATTGAAATATTCAAGGAAGCCAGCTAGTTTTACCGGCATATTGTCCTTGATGCACTCGAATGCTCCTGCAATTCCTGAAAACGGTAGAAATGATAGTGCCTTAAAAACAAAAACGTTAATCTGCATTCACCCAGCGATTACTTAATACTAACCTGTAGGCGTTTAATAGCCATGTATACATCCATATCATTGGAATACATAGTTTTCAGTCCCCGGAAGTTCAGCTGTTTGATTAAATTTTGTGCAAAGTGAAAGTAGCACAAATAACATTCTGCATCCGGAAAGATATCCTTCATTACATTAATAACTGCTTTCTCAAAAACAGAGATGATGAACTTCGGACGTAGTTCAATCTGTGCTTCCTGACATACTTCCAGTAATGCTTAAAATGCGCATGTGTAAGTCTCTTGTGTTTTGTTTTTCAGAAGCATAAATACAAGGGGTACAACTGCGTCGTGATTCTGATATGGAATGGATCCGTGGTAAGAGTACATTTGTGTGAATTCCAGAGGAACGGTTGCGAATGTGCCATCAACCAGCCAAAACCGGGAGGCAGCCAAGCGCTAAAGGTTTGGTAAGGTTGTAAAAATCATAATATGTGTACTTTCGTTGCGGATGTATTTATGCAAGAAAAGCTGACCATCCAGCGTTTTCTTAAGTTCCTCTGGAACGATAAATTCACCATCCTGTTCAATCACACGTAGTCCACCACCATTTGCTTGCCTTTGCCTCAGAATCAACATTTTTTGCGATTTGTTTGATGCTCGGGTTTGGGTAGAAACTTCACGGATTATTTTCGAAGGAACTTCCTTCGATTCTAGAGCTTTCCGTTTTAGTTCAGCTTTGTAAATTTTTCTCCATCCCGTCCAAAGGGTTAACATCATGATTATGCACAACTTAAATGTGGACGCCATTTTGTAATCTTGCAGGCCTCGTCACTGTTTTTGGCATGTTTTCTGGTGGCACAGTCCCTTAGGCTCGGTAGCTCAGTGGTTACCGTTTCTGCTTACTGAGCAGAAGGTCGGGAGTTCAATCCCAGGCCCGTCCCCTTCCTTGCAATTTTTCACTTTGCCTTATTCTATACCCACTAGATTTTAATGAAAACAAATTCTTCTTTAACACCGATCGCATCAACTTACCACAGTGTGGGTCCCGATCTAAAAATAGAAATTGGATGAGTGCGCGCGTGGGTGTGTGTGTGTGTTTGTGTATTATAATCGCTCTACCAAAAACGATCCCTGCGTGTGCGGTGCAACCTTTCCCCACATCCAACATCCCAGTGATTTCTCGTGGAAGCGCAGAGGATTTCTCGGTTTCCTTCACAGCGAGTACCACGTCAACACATTCCTTCCCATTCCCTAGTTGACCTGCATTCGGACACGGCCGGCGCTGGTATTCCTAAATATTAGATCTCCAGTTCTTACACATTGAGGATGAATGTTAGTCCCAAACATCATCTGTTGGTTCTCTGTGTAATTGCAGCTGATCTGGTAATAACAGAGCAGCAACCGTGGGCGGTCAATCTGATTTGATTTGATTTGATTTGTTTTCTGGTGGCACAGTCCCAGTAGAAGCGATCTTTAGCCTAATTTAAAAATAATGTTTTGATAAACAAACTATAACCATCAGTTAATAAGAAGAATTACCTCCTTGTTTACGTTGTACAGAAATCCATTGACACTCAGCATCTGCTTTCCTTTTTGGGAAATAACCACTTTCACTACTGGCACAACTTCTTCATCGGAAAACCCATCTTCAATCGCACTCAATTTCTTTCTAACACCAACCCAAATTTCGATCAAATCAAAAAAACGTGATGTTTTCGAATCAAAATCCTCGCTGCCAAAGTAAAAAAAAAAAATAATGAAAAGCACCGAGCGGAAGCAATCATGTCCTATCGCTTTTTCTCTCATTCAGATTCTGTAGCTTTTCTGCTCGCACAACTGACTCGGCTCGTTGGTTCGCATTCACAAAAAATGAAGCCAAGATGAAAATAGATATAGAGGTGTTCTCACTTGCTGACTTTTTGTGAAAAACCAGTAAGTGGTAAGCTGCTGGTAAGAAAATAAGAGATGCGACAGAGGTGAATGGTTTATTTACGCATACGCAACATTCTTATTGGGTGGCAAGTTGTGCAAGCAGTTGAATGTAAGTAACATTCAGCATCTAAAGCCTTTCTGCTCTTACAACTGAGTCACCTCGTTGAATGGTCCGCATTCACAAAAAAAACGAATCCATCTTGCCATTAAATCGTCGTTACACACTCAAACAAACATAAACATAAAACTACCCAAATTTTAAGATTTTTTTTAATTTCATTACGGAAATCGAATGGCTATTAAGTAGCTTCCATTATATTTTAAATCGAAGATGCAGAATAATAATTATTGTAACTTTACTTTAAAAATGAAATTTAATCTATTAAAAACAAATTAACAAAAGGCCGAAAAAACTCGGAAAAGCGACAAAGTGGACCGGTCCACTTTCTCGCTTTTCCTAGTTTTTTCGGTCTTTTGTGTTTTCGGCCTTTTGTGATTCGCCTTTTGTGATTCGGCCTTTCGTGATTCGGCCTTTCGTGATTCGGCCTTTTGTGTTTTCGGCCTTTTGTAGTACTCCCGTTCTGAGGCATAACATCTCTGATCATGCCTTTCTTCGGATGGGAAGTAAAGCCGTTGGTCCCCGGTTCATGAGTTGATGGGTTGATAGGTAGGGTCCAGGTGTGGGAGCTGCCTTCCTGGCACGTCGGTAGCATTGGTGCTCAGCACGGAAAACAAGATCGACGGAAAAAACAAACCACAGGAAAAAAAAAGATTCCTCGGTCGTAAAAATGCAATCAGATTGAACCTGAAACACTAATGAATCATATGAATATATTCAGCGAAGTGTATAGATGGGAAAATACAGTGAAATTACGTTTAAATTTTGGAAGACGAAAGCAGTCAATGGGTGCCGAAGCCGTCATTTAACCTATGTACATGCATTCTGGTTGTCTGGGAATCCGACTTGTCAAAACCCATCATGCGACATATCAAATCACATGTGAATTTAAGACCAAGATCATGTTCCGGGTGGCCCGGGAAATGGCCAAAACGACTTGTGTCAAATCTCATGATGCGATAAAAATAAGTTATATTTGTAAGATGGGTCAGATCTTACCATAGGTGGATACATTTAGGCTGTTTGCACAGTTTCTCGATTTTTTTTACGCGGTTTTTAGAAATAACATTTTTTTGCGCCACCTGTACTGCCATTGGACGCATAACTGTCCCATGTGTATAGTAAATTCCATAAAACATGGGACAGTTGTTCCACCGACGAAGTCTAAAAAATGTGTTGGGTGTATACAAACTATTTTCAAAATCTTCTTATTATCATCTATATAATCAGGTGTGAAAGGTGTCTTAACTACAAGGCTAACCAAGGTACTCAAGCAGGAACAAGCAGAAGCTGAAGGAAAAGAAAACGAGGAAAAATCTGCCAGCAAGGAAAAGGAAGATGAAGATAAAGTTGAAGAAAATGAAAAAAAAGTCGAAGAAAAGGAAGATAACGCTGAAGAAAAGGCTGAAAAACCTGCAGAATCGGAGAAGCCTGCTGAAAAGGACGAGGAAGAATTTGAAACTATGGACAATGTTGATATGTCGGAAGTAACTGTAATCGATGAGTACGATTCCAAGTCTGAAGAAAGCAAGAAACCCGAAAGGGTTAAGCTGACCGAGAAAGAACGCCAATTGCTCGAGAAACGGTACTCATTGCCGGAGCAGCCTCATATTATTGTGCACCCGTCCCGAACGGCAAAATCCGGTAAATTTGACTGCGCGGTTATGTCGCTATCGGTATTGTTGGACTACCGTCCGGAAGATTCCAAAGAACATTCTTTCGAGGTGTCCTTGTTTGCGGAGCTGTTCAACGAAATGTTGACTCGTGACTTTGGATTCAATATCTACAAAGCTCTACATTTGCTACCCCCGAAAAAGGAAGATGAACCTAAGAAGGAGTCTACCACAGAAGACGCTAAGGAAGAGGATGAGAAGAAAGTTAATGGGGACGGTGCTAAAGAAAAAGAAAAAGAGGAGAATGCTAAAGCGAAGGACGATAAAGATGATAAGGAGAAAGAACGTGTCCGCGAGCGTGATCGCGATTCGCGCAAGAGATCTCGCTTCGACGACGCCTCAGAAGAAGACCGCCGTCGTAAGGAGAAGGAAAAAGAGCGCGAGCGACTTAACTATTACACAGCCGATCGCGATCTTTTGCTATCGTTTGCATACTTTGACATAAGCCATTGCGGTTACATATTCGACAAGGACGTTGAAGATCTGTTCTATACCCTTGGCTTGAATTTATCGCGTTCGCAAATTCGAAGACTGGTATCGAAAGCAGTTACCAGAGATTCACTTTACTATCGTAAGCTAACTGACAAAGTCAAAGAAATACCTGAGGAGAATAAAGAATTGAAAGACAAGGACACTGAACAGAAGGAGTCCGTGGCTGAAAGCTCCGAAGTGACTGAAGTTGCTACTGTCAAAACAGAGAAAAACGATGCCGAGGAAATTGCAGAGGCCGAACTAGAGGAACTTGCTACGGGCAATCGCAACATCTTGGAACAAATGAAGATTAACCTTCAAGCTGTCCTGGAATATGAAGCAGTAGAAGAAGGTGACGATCCACCAACCAAGAAGATCAAACTTGAACCTTTGCGGGATGACAGTGATATTCCCGAAACTAATAATGGTTAGTAGAAATGATTTCTTTTTAAACTATGGTAGATTAAAATATATTTTACTTACAGGGTTAGTTCTTCACAATGGTGGTGTCCTTGACATTCCAAAACTGCTGGAACAAATGAGGCGTACCGAGAAGGCTCGTGAAGATACCGAGCAACTTTTGATCGATTTACGTCGGCAGAATTCTGACCTTACGAAAAGCAGCAACCGTTCCAATGAGCGGATTAAAGATCAGTCGGCTGACATTAAAAGTCTCACCCGCAAGCTCGTCGAAGCGGAGCAGAATCTTCGGGAACTTACGGTAGATGACAATCGCTTTGTACGATTTGATAATTGATTAGCTTTATTCTCGTTTTTTTTTTCTTGTAGAAAAAGTCCAATGAATATTTTTCAACTTTATCCAGTGTATACGATCGCGTTAGCGTTGTGATGCAACGTTCTGAATCAAAGCGATCCTCATCGATCACTTCGTCTCGTCGTGGAAGGTAAGTGATCTAAGGTGAACCCTAATTACTTAAAGCTTTAAATTACCTACGCTGTTGATAATTGGATATTTTATTCAGTCCGACTGTTTGAAGCATTCTGGTGCATATGAAATGTGATTTTTTTTCTTCTATATAATTTCAGCTCACGCGATCGTTCGAGTCGTAAGGATGCAAAGTCTAAGGACAAGGAACCAGAGCCACAGAAGGATTCTTCTGATAAACCAAAGGCAGAGGAGCCCAAGAAAACGGATGAGCCAACTGTAGTTGAAAGCGTAACTTCCGTTAGTTCGAAAGAAAGTGTTGACATCAAGAAACCGGAGGATGCAAAAACTGACGATACCAAACCAGCAGAGCAAAAAACTGACGAGCAAAAGAAGGAGTAATCGCTAAGCTGAAATTCAATCACGTAATATGGTTTGCGTTCACATATTTTTATTAACAAGCGTTTCTCACGCCTATGGAGTGAGAATTCAATAGATTTAAAATTATTCAATCAATTAAATGTTAAACTTATCCTCTTCACTGCAGTATGCCGAATAAATGACTTGCTTTAAATCAACCGACTTGACTTTGATTTCAATCGATGTAATCGAAATTCAACATGTTCTTAAAGTAATCGTAAACACTTTCAAAAAATTGATCATTCGGACCAATAATGAAACAATCGAACTCATTGCTTAGCAGTTCGAAGCTGAACAATTTCCTCCCTTGTTTCGTCTGCAGGCTGCTATTTGCCAGTTTCAAGTCAAATTTCAGTCCGAGAGCCTTGGGAATCAAGGTGCACTTTTCTTCCGCATTCATTAGTTCATCCATAGCAATTCTCCGGGCACCATCGATTTTAGATTGGTCCAGTTCTTCGAAAAATCGATGACGATCGGCAATTTTTACGCCCAATTTTTTCTTGATGTCTGAGTTGATCAGTTCCCGATAAGTTCGAATGGTGTGCTCGTCCTCGTCCTCTGCTAACTCTGCTGCTTTGTCGAGCGATTGTACCTGCATCTCACTGTCTTCTACCGGCATCTTAAAAATAAAACAATCTTAGAATATCCACATCCTTCGAATACCAAAACATGTTTCTCCACTTACGGCTTGCAGCGTCTTGATCATTTCGTTGCACGCTGCTTGTTTGGCTCCCTTTTTTGTCTTGTGGACACCACGACGGACGATCTTTCCGATGCGACATTCATACTCAAACTCGGGAGCATGAGAAGGTCCCGAGTTGCGAACGCATTCGAACTGCGGCATTTCGAAATTTCGCTGCACGCAAATATCTCGTACTTCGGTGACTTTATCCGACGACAGCACCGACAGAAAGTGGTCATCATCGTCCATATTGACATCGCTCAAACCTTGCTGGAATAGCACTTTAAGGAGCTTGAACGCGGCATCATGTTTGGAATCCTTTTTCGAGCGTCCTTTGCCGGAACAGCTAAATCCGAGGGCAGTAACTGATGTGGTGAACGCTTTTGCGTTTGGTGTCATGCTATCCACTTCTTCGCCGGTAAAATCGTACATAGGAGGTGGTGCTTTTCTTGAAATGCACATTTCCTGCAGTTCTGTTATCGGAGTCTTGGTGCTCAACGCAGATTTAGTAGCCATCATGAATCGAATCAATCTGCCTCCTCTCAGATGAATAGACGAGTGCACGGATGGATTTTAGTTCACTGTCTGTTCTAGTCTGGGGCATGGTGGGTATATAAATGGTGATACAGCTTTATCACTATATTAGGTTTTGCACCATCGGGGTTAACCTCAATCTGATGACAGTTTAGTGGTACTGTTTACGTGGACTTAGTCGATTTTTTCTTGGGTGGATTTTCTCGATAATTTTTCAGACTGCAGTGAGATGTAAACCACATTTCTGCTATGTTCACGAGCAACATCCTTGCAATGCGCTGTTCCTCGACAATTTTCAAGTTAAAATTCGGAAATTTTAGAATTTTTTTTTCGAAAAAACGACTAAATGCTTGTAAACAGTACCACTGAACTGTCAAAAAGGTTCAGCCTATTAAGGCTGTGAACCATTTGCCGAGTTAAATTTAACTCGTGGTTAAAAGTGACATTTCGAAAGTTATTTCTTATGTTCGAAAATCCCCGTGCTGTCGATCGACCGGTTTTCGAGCCACGGTCGTCAAAATTTAACTTCTTGTCTGTCAGAAATAACCATGCTCGGATAGCAGGGTTAATCGATAACTATCCATCTGTCAAATTTTAACCAAAAGTTAAAAAAATCCACCAAATGGTTCAGAGCCTAACACTGAGTTCATTTGTGACGTCACGCTGCAGAACCTAATAGGCGAGGAGGTCGCGGGGGGGAAAAGTGCGGTTTTAGTGCAAATAGTAAACAAACTCGGTCGCTGTCCCATACAAAAATCCAACATTGACGAGTGCACGGATGGATTTGAGTTCACTCACTCGACAAAAAGTGACACAACAGCGGGGCCCTGTTTACTAAAAATGAACATATGTGTTCATTTTTAGTAAATAGGGCCCCGCTGTTGTGTCACTTTTTGTCGAGTGAGTGAACTCAAATTCATCCGTGCACTCGTCAATGGCTGAATCATGAATTAGGTTCTACAGCGTGACGTCACAAATGAACTCAGTGTTAATAGGCTGAACCTTTTTGACAGTTCAGTGGTACTGTTTACAAGCACTTAGTCGTTTTTCCAAAAAAAAAATTCTAAAATTTCCTAATTTTAACTTGAAAATTGTCGAGGAACAGCGCATTGCAAGGATGTTGCTCGTGAACATTGCAGAAATGTGGTTCCCTAATAAAAATTGTATGGTTAATTTGCTTAACGACGTGTTCTGGGTATCATCCAAACCATTTATAGAATAGTTCAATGATTTGGGTTATCGTTCGTTTATGGTTATTTTTTATTAGGGTTTACATCTCACTGCAGTCTGAAAAATTATCGAGAAAATCCACCCAAGAAAAAATCGGCTAAGTCCACGTAAACAGTTCCACTAAACTGTCATCAGATTGAGGTTAACCCCGACGGTGCAAAACCTAATTCCACGGTTAGAAAAAAGTACCCAAAATTAAGTTCTTTTCACTCATCTCGGCACTATAGTGCAGGAACCCAAAAGTAGGTAAAGCTAAAGCCCTATACAGTAAAAGTATGGACGTCTGTCAAAAGTTGTTCCAATCGAACCGTCAAAATGCACCGCTTTGCTCGATTGGAACAGCTTTTTTCAGTTTTGTGGTGACAGTCGTCCATACTTTCACTGTAGGGCTTTAGGTAAAGCGGGTCAAAGTAAATTTCATTTCAAGAGCAAATTTTCATTATGTCGTAAGTAACATTCGCACCGATCCGAGAAAAATAAAGTTTTGTTTTGATGACCGAAAAGTTATTCCTATTTCCAATTAAACACATATAATCTCATAGTGATAGCAATCCCTCATAAACGCGAACTATAAATTGACCTTACCTAAAATGGTTAAAAATTGTTTATAATCCCTGCTAAACTTTAACTGAAATGGTTATGGAACTTTACATGAACGTTTAATGATAAAGTTTCAACCTTATGTATAATGGTTTTTTGGAACTGGACCTTACAAATAATGGGTTGTTAAGAACCATTACCGTTCCAAATTCTTGTTTTCTCCATACATTTTCGAAAAGAGAACTATATTAGGACCTTTTAACTTATGGTTTGAGAACTTTAATGGTAATGGTTATGGTAGTCAGTAAGGTCCACGAATGGTTTTGTAACATCGATCAACTTTATGTGGAATATATCGCGAATTGGTTGCCTGTAATTTACTGATTACCAATTCACGATATATTCCACGTAAAGTTGAGCGATAATACAAAACCATTAATGGACCTTACTGACTACCATAACCATTACCATTAATGTTCTCAAATCATAAGTAAAAACGTTCTTATATAGTTCTCTTTCTGAAAATGTATGGAGAAAACAAGAATTTGGAATGGTAATGGTTCTTAACAACCCATTATTTGTAAGGTCCAGTTCCAAAAAACCATAATACATAAGGTTGAAACTTTATCATTAAACGTTCATGTAAAGTTCCATAACCATTTCAGTTAAAGTTTAGCAGGGATTATAAACAATTTTTAACCATTTTAGGTACACGCAGAAAAAATTACCGTCGAAACAAAAATATTTGAGGTAAATTTAAACGTAAATTCAGTTTGTTCTGGCCACAAACATAAACTAGGTTGATTTCAAACGTATTCTACGTTTGAATCCATTGATAATAATGTTTAAAACAAAAATAATGTTACGTTTATTTTAAAAATATTCGTGTTGAAAATAAACGTGAATATTTTTGATTTATTTGAAAACTATATGCAATCAAAAATTAATATGTTTATTTTAAACATGCTTTTCATGTTTAAAATAAACAAACATATTTTGAAATTATTTTAGCATTTGAATGCTGAATAAATCAAAATAAAATGGATAGCAAATTAATGGAAATTCCTGCGATTATGGAAAGTCTGTGGATGTTTGGATCCGGGGAGCCGTCGGGGTGGGTGTCCGATCCGATCCAGTTCAGTAAAACTGGTGAAACTTTGTGATATTAGCGTCATTTTGTCGTTTATGACACTGGTCCTCATACCGGCCTCTTTCTACGTTTAGTGTTCGGGGATGATCTGTTTTTCTTTCGACGTCGGGTGGGGGGTGAGGATGATATGGGGATCGGTATCAGAAACGACGGATTGCCGTTAATATTGTGATGTTCCACCGGTTTTGTCGAGCTTGGAACATTGCGTGGGTTTCCGGACCCTCTACTTCGGTTTCGCCGCTTGCAGGCCGTTTTCGGTTAAGTTTGCCGAATGCAAACAAGAAGGAAAAAAGGACACGCTAAAAATTGATTACCCAGGTTATGTATTGTTGAAATAAACATGCTTTTGAATTTATTCTAAACATACATATTTTTGTTGAGAACATGTTTGTAATTTACTTTGAACTATTCATATTTTTATTTAATAAACATATATATTTTTAACTTAAATGAACAAAATTTGGTTCCGTGTAAGGTCAATTTATGGTTCGCGTTTATGAGGGATGTTTAACATATTTATCCGGGTTTTGATCATACAAATGCACATTGCTAGCTTTCATGCTAAGAAATACTGGTTTTTGAGTCAAAAGTTATTATACGTCGTTTGGTGGCCCCTATTGTTACTTAAGTCAAAGTGTATTTACCAGGATATTCGGGAGAATTATCAATTACGTCTCCTTACGTGCAGCCCATTCATCATTTTAGGACCACCGAAATCATCTTAGCAACAAACAGTTCGATTTATTCTCTTTAATAATGAGAAAGCGAAACGACGAAAGTACACTTTTCACGGGTTTCTCAGTGCTGTTACTTAAGGCAAACGGCATCTCCATAGAAATCGGGTGACTTAAGTAACATCGAAAACTATTTTGATCGGAAGGTGATTACGTCAAAAAGCAATTCGACTGGTAAATAAATTTAAAAATGGGATGTGATCCTATATTCGGACCTATTCGGACAGTATATAGTGTAATAGCAGGAGCATCGATTGACACTGATAGCTCGACTTTGTTTACCTTTGTTACATTCGACGTAATGAAAATTTGCTCTTGATTTACTTGTGTGCAATTCGTATGGAATTTTCCACTGGATTTTTAACCAAAAGTAAGTTAGTTGTACCCAACAGTAGGTAAATATGATTATACTCAACGTTGGGTTCCCATACTTTACTACCCCTGTTGGGTGGTTTTGCTCCTCCGTTTTTGACAACATTTGAAGGAGAAAAGGAGACAAACTAGTCAAAAGTAGGTAAAAGTGAACTTTCCGTTGGGTACTTTTTTCTTACCGTGTAGGTTTTGCACCGTCGGGGTTAACCTCAATCTGATGACAGTTCAGTGGTACTGTTTACGTGGACTTAGTCGTTTTTTTCTTGGGTAGATTTTCTCGATAATTTTTCAGACTGCAGTGAGATGTAAACCACACTTCTGCATTGTCCACGAGCAACATCTTTTCACCGCGCTGTTCCTCGTCAGAAATAACCATGCTCGGATAGCAGGGTTAATCGATAACTATCCATCTGTCAAATTTTAACCAAAAGTTAAAAAAATCCACCAAATGGTTCAGAGCCTAACACTGAGTTCATTTGTGACGTCACGCTGCAGAACCTAATTTGACACATTAGAACACCTATATGTAGTCACCTTGGTCTGGGGTAGAGTCGGTGCACTGTACACAAACATCATCCTCTGATCGAATGAAACCTCAGACCATTCAAAACAAAACACCGAAATCGGTTTTTCGAATGATAGCTGCAACCGGATGACGGTTGTTTTGAAATCAGATGATTTTCCTCTCGAATACAGGATGAAACTTGTTATGAGAAGGGATAGGGTCTTCAGTTGAAATGCGTAATGCTCTCTGCAGAATGACTGTCATACTAAATGGAAATGCATATGGAATTGGTTCAGCCCCATAACGCAAATCATTCAAAACGATGATGTGAATAATTAGGTTTTGCACCGTCGGGGTTAACCTCAATCTGATGACAGTTCAGTGGTACACAGCAAAAAAAGTTGTTGAATATTACATCGAAACTGCTGCAACCACGTCAATCCATCGGTTGTGTAATATCACATTGTACGATGTACATCGATTTTGCGAACAAATTTACATCCATTGATGTAATATTGTATCTGCTTTTTGCTATTACATCATTATTGCATACATCAGCTTGAATTACGTTGATCGATATTACATTTTTTTTGCTGTGTACTGTTTACGTGGACTTAGTCGATTTTTTCTTGGATGGATTTTCTCGATAATTTTTCAGACTGCAGTGAGATGTAAACAGCATTTCTGCAATGTTCACGAGCAACATCCTTGCAACGCGCTGTTCCTCGACAATTTTCAAGTTAAAATTCAGAAACTTTAGAAATTTTTTTTTCGAAAAAACGACTAAGTGCTTGTAAACAGTACCACTGAACTGTCAAAAAGGTTAAGCCTGAGCCACACTGCGTTCATTTGTGACGTCACGCTGTAGAACCTAATTAGGTTCTGCAGCGTGACGTCACAAATGAACTCAGTGTTAATAGGCTGAACCTTTTTGACAGTTCAGTGGTACTGTTTACAAGCACTTAGTCGTTTTTTCGAGAAAAAAAAATTCTAAAATTTCCGAATTTTAACTTGAATATTGTCGAGGGACAGCGCATTGCAAGGATGTTGCTCGTGAACATTGCAGAAATGTGGTTTACATCTCACTGCAGTCTGAAAAATTATCGAGAAAATCCACCCAAGAAAAAATTGGCTAAGTCCACGTAAACAGTACCACTAAACTGTCATCAGATTGAGGTTAACCCCGACGGTGCAAAACCTAATTAGGTTCTGCAGCGTGACGTCACGAATGAACTCAGTGTTAATCGGCTGAACCTTTTTGACAGTTCAGTGGTACTGTTTACAAGCACTTAATCGTTTTTTCGAAAAAAAAATTCTAAAATTTCCGAATTTTAACTTGAAAATTGTCGAGGAACCTCGCGAGGAACAGTGCGTTGAAAGGATGTTGCTCTTGGACATTGCAGAAGTGTGGTTTACATCTCACTGCAGTCTGAAAAATTATCGAGAAAATCCACCGAAGAAGAAATCGACTAAGTCCACGTAAACAGTACCACTGAACTGTCATCAGATTGAGGTTAACCCCGACGGTGCAAAGCCTAATAGACGAGTGCACAGCTGGATTTGAGTTCACTCACTCGACAAAAAGTGACACAACAGCGGGGCCCTGTTTACTAAAAATGAACACATGAATAATACTCGTGTAACATTTGAAACGGGCCTATCACCTTTTGTACACAAAACCTGTAAGGCCCTTTTCGCGCGAACCGAATACGCTCACGCAAACTTACAACACCATAGGGTAGAGGAAATTCTCCCCTTCCCGATAGTGCTCTTGGTTTGCGTGGGCGTACTTCGGTTCTCGTGAAAAGGACATAGCAAATTATTTACAAAAGTGTATAGGCCCTTTTCAAATGTTACGCGAGCATTATGCATGTGTTCATTTTTAGTAAACAGGGCCCCGCTGTTGTGTCAATTTTTTTCAGTAGATGAACAAAAGTTCACCCGTGCACTCGTCTATTAGGTTCTGCAGCGTGACGTCACAAATGAACTCAGTGTTAAACGGCTGAACCTTTTTGACAGTTCAGTGGTACTGTTTACAAGCACTTAGTCGTTTTTTCGAAAAAAAATTTCTAAAGTTTCTGAATTTTAACTTGAAAATTGTCGAGGAACAGCGCGTTGCAAGGATGTTGCTCGTGAACATTGCAGAAATGCTGTGTACATCTCACTGCAGTCTGAAAAATTATCGAGAAAATCCACCCAAGAAAAAATCGACTAAGTCCACGTAAACAGTACCACTGAACTGTCATCAGATTGAGGTTAACCCCGACGGTGCAAAACCTAATTGTGCGCCGGCCTTTAGAATTGGATGCAACTGAATGATGTTTCATTCTATAAATAAAGGGTGATTTGGATCAGTGTAATCAGCAATAGAGATTGCTAAAGTATGATTGTGCAAGTGATTTGTTTTCATCGGGAAAATTTTCCGCTATGAAGTTTTTTTTTCCCGATGAAAACATTTTGCGTATACGTATACGTGACGCACACTACGTACGATAAACGTCAGCAATCTCTATGCAGGAGTTTTTTCTGTGTACAGATAATTTGACACTCATACAGACTTTTGAAAAAACCATCTGGCATCCCTGCAATACTGCTCCGAACTTCAACTGTCATCTGAGAAAGTTTGTTCTTCGGATCGGTTCGTTCCGTTCGTTCGGTTCTCCGTTGTTTCTAAATCTGAAGTTGATTTTCCTATAGCAAATAGCTCCTGCTGGTCCTTTTTCGGAGTTGTGCGTGTAAAAAATCAAGTGGAAAATCCTTAGGTGGTGGCATACTGAGTTTTAAATCGTGAAATCCATAAAAAGGTGCAAAAAAATAGCAATGTCTCGTGGTCCGGGTCCGATTCCCAACCGGTGGCTCTATTGCCCTCGGAAATCGGAATCTCTGATTGCTGACAAATTTTTAGCATTCAAGACTCCACTCAAGGAAAGTTTTGAATCTCAGATGCCAATGGAGTGTTGTTTCTCACCGGATATGCTCTTCCAAGTGATGAAAACCTACAAGGTACGAAATGGCCAGAAGTGTGTATGTGGCGACATCGGACCAATCTTTTCTTTTTTTTTGACAGGTAAAAATTGGTCTTTGGATAGATTTGACCAACACAAACCGTTTCTACGATCGAAGAGAAATTGAAGACAACGATTGTCAATATGTAAAGCTGCAGTGCCGTGGCCACGGAGAAACTCCCACGATGGAACAAACTAAGGCGTTCATAGAGATCGTGGAAGAATTCAATCGCGATCATCCTCTGGAAGTGATTGGCGTTCACTGCACCCATGGATTCAATCGGACCGGTTTTCTAATTGGATCCTATATGGTTGAGAAGCAGGACTGTGCCGTAGAAGCTGCCCTTGCTGCGTTCGCCAAAGCTCGTCCGCCAGGCATCTACAAGGAAGACTATATCCGGGAGCTGTTCCGACGCTATGAAGACGAAGAGGATGCCATCCCGGCACCGCCGCTTCCGGATTGGTGCTTTGGTAAGTGTTATATTAAAGTTGATTAAAGATTTGTTATTTAATAACAAAAGTGACATTCATTCTACGTGCAGATCAAGGGGATAGTTCTAGTAATGGGCATGTGGTTCCGATCGATGAACAAGATGACATGAGCAATCAAGAAGACCAGGATGATTCTGAAAGTAGCGGAAAAAGCACAGCCACTAAACGCAGTCTGGAAGCCGAAAGTAGTAATGCAGATGATTCGGCAGGTGGTAGCAAGCGCAAGAAAATGAAGAGGGAATTCATCAAAAAGAACGCAAGGTTCATGGAAGGGGTTCCTGGTGTAACGTTAGTTTCTGATCAACCCCGACTCGGCACACTGCAGCAGATGGTGCAGAGCATGTGCGGCTGGAAATCTACCGGGTTTCCTGGCTGTCAACCGGTGTCCATGGATAATACAAACCTAAACCTACTGCACATCAAACCGTATAAAGTATCATGGAAGGCTGACGGCACTCGATACATGATGCTGATTGTGAAGAAAGATGAAGTATACTTTATCGATCGTGACAATTCTTGTTTTGCCGTTTCGGGTATTACTTTTCCTCAATACTCAAACTTGCATAACCACCTAACCAATACTCTACTGGATGGGGTAAGAAGTTGAAGAATCTTTTTCGGATGGAAGCACCTATTTTAGTAATATTTTTTAAAACCTAGGAAATGGTGATAGACAAAGTGAATGGGCAGAAAAGACCACGATATCTGGTTTATGACATCATCCGATATGAAAATGAAGATGTAGGGAAGAAACCATTCGATCCGGACCGTTTGGTGTATATTGAAAGGCGGATTATCGGTGAGTCCTGTATCAAATTCATAATCCTTCAGTCCTTAAGTGCGGTTGGACAAACTCGCAATATGCTATTTAGTACTTAGTTCCACTAATAGAATATATCGTATCCTTTTCTTCAGGACCCCGCACAGAAGCCATGAAGCAGGGAATCATTGATCAAGCTCGGCAACCATTCAGTATAAGGCACAAAGCATTCTGGGACATAACACAAGCACGGGCTCTGCTAGGTCCAAAGTTTGCCAAAACCCTGTCACATGACCCTGACGGTCTAATATTTCAACCAGGCAAGGAACCCTATGTCGCAGGAACCTGCCCAGAGGTTCTCAAATGGAAACCGTCTACTCTTAACTCCGTCGATTTTAAGTTGAAGATTGCTGAAGAAAGTGGCATGGGGTAAGATGAATGCAATCGACATTAAATTGTTAGATTTCTACATTAGATTCTGATTTCAGCGTGTTGCCTAAAAAGATTGGACTGCTATTTGTAGGAGGCATGGAAACAGCCTTTGGTCAAATGAAACTCACAAAGGAATTAAGAGAGTTAGATAACAAGATTATCGAATGCAAATACGAGAAGAACGCTTGGGTCTTCATGCGCGAGAGGACGGATAAATCCTTCCCAAATAGTTTCAAGACAGCGCAAAGTAAGTTTTTGTATTCTTGGGATGTGATTCGGATTACCTAACCATTTATATCTTATAGGTGTATGCCACAGTATTCGCTATCCCGTAACGACTGACATTTTGCTGAACTTCATCGACACGAAAAGGTACAGAGAGGATTCCTTCCGAATGCCGCCACCTGCAGCATTTCATGAGTAATTTTGTGAAAACTACGATAGTCAAATCTGTTATGTTCATCGGTTTGTTCGAGACATTTCACCACTTGTAAGGACTACGTTACGAATGTATCAAAATGATCGACATCTAGGTTGAATTAAATCCATTTTTAAAAAAATCGATATCAAATGAACATCATAATTTATGATGACAATAAGCGGATAGGTAGGAGAAGGAGAGGTATAATGAGCCTACTACCAATTAATTTTATTGAATAATTATAAACTTAAGGCTAAAGTACAGGATGCTCATGATGGCCCACCTGTTCACTATTTTTTTCAGCGTCGCCAATTTCCTCTCCCGCAGGTAGGCACAGGTACACCACCACAACTTTTCGGTTCTTCTCCTGTTGGTCAATCTACCATTAAATAGTCAGTACTTGTTTAAGCTTCTCCGTGTGTTCATTATTCTGGTCTATATGTATTCTTGGGGATTCCATTGAGCAAGTATTGAAAGCAATTAAAATACTATATTTTTATTTTAAACGATATCAATAAAGGGGCTGTTCATAAACTACGTAGACGGTTTAGGGGGGGGGGGGCAGACTATTATCCACGGCCCATACAAATTAAAAAAAAAATGAATGCACAATTGCCTAGGCAGGGGGAGGGGTAAATAATAAAAAAAAACGTCTACGTATTTAATGAACAGCCCCTAATAAAACACATTTTTACATCTAAAAATAACGAAAGACCTGGGAAGAAAAGCGTTAAGGTAAATTTTGGTGTCTGAAGGCTTTGCACTAATATTTTTGAATAGCTAATTTTATTACGTATACGTAATAAAATTAGCTATTCAAAAATATTAGTGCAAAGCCTAATAGGACTGTGTTTATTTGCTGTTTATGGCTCGCGTAAGATTTGAAAAGAGCCTATATTTTTTTTTGTAAACAAAACTTTTATTATATCTATATTAAGGGGAAGTTCATCGCCCCGAAAAAAAACAAATATGTTATGATTTTTCTAAAAATATTGAAAAAAGGTATAAAAAATCTAAAAAAAATAATTTTTTTCTAACTCTTCAAAGAAAATTCTCGTGTAAAAACATTTTTTATAAGTCATTGTGGCGTAAAGTTGGCCATAAAAAACCACAAAACAGTTTAAACAGAATGGTAGTGAACCGAGCCAAATGCTCCGCTATTACGTTCTCACGAAAACAACAACCGATAATATTTAGCTATGACATGTTTGGCTCGACAATCGAACGCGTGAATCAGGTGAAAGACTTGGGTGTGATCTTGGATTCGCAACTTTCATACAAGCAACAAATTGCATATGTTGTCGATAAGGCGTTAAGAACTTTAGGGTTCTTTTTTGGATGGCTAAAAACTTCACTGATATCTACTGTCTAAAATCTCTCTTTTGTTCGCTTGTTCGATCGACGCTTTTATATTGTTCAGCAGTTTGGAACCCAAACTACAACAACAGTGCCGAGATAATTGTTTCTGTTCACCGTCGCTTTCTTCGTTTTGCGTTGCGTAGATTGCCTTGGAATGATCCGTTTCGATTACCCAGTTACGAAAGCCGTTGGGACTTATTACGGATGTCACTTTACGGTGAAAACTTGTCACTTGTCGTCACGGTAAAGTGATTCCCATTTGATTTGCACGGCAATCACGGCTCTTTTTCTGAATATCACTTCCTTATCACCGTAGTGATACCCGTAATAAGGCCCGTTGTCAACTTATCGACCTAGAACTTCTCCGGACTAGAAGAGACACAAGCAGAGCCCTAACCGTGGAAGGACAGATTGCGAGGCTATCCTGAGGCAAGTTGACCTGAATGCTAATGCTGTTATGCTAAAAGCTAAATAGTTACCTAAAAATACTACCTAAATCGTTCACAACCAGAGCCGGACCACTGATGAAAACCAAAACTACAACCCTGAAAAACGTATCGATATTTTCGAAGGCTAACCTATTCTTGCTAGTGATTCTGTCCAATTGTTAGGTATCCAAATTATAGTCATTTGTAAATTTATTATTGAATATATGGATATTATTTTTTTCATTTCGTTTATTTGGCAGGCTCAAATGTTAAAAAAAATAACTTAGTGGAGCCGAGTAACCTGGAATACCAATTTTGGTACTCAAAATACAAACAAAAGATATAAAAAATGCATATTATTATATGATTTTAATGGGTGGCAATCGAAGCAGCGACAAAGCGATCTTCTCCTGTGCACGCAACTTATTTCTTTCCCGAAATTGTTCCTCATTTTCATTGAACCCGAATCGTGATCGCTGCTGCTGCTTCTGAACTTCGTTTCCCGTTGCATGCTCTCCGCTACTCTCGTCGGTCGTCGGGGTCGTCACGTCCATTTCGTTATTTTCATTCAACATCTCAACCCCGTGTCCGTTTCCTGGTCGCTAATGACAAACGACGCACCTTCCACCACTACACCAGCATACGTACTGCTGCTGTTTTGTTTTCTTTCACTTTGCTTTCCTTTTTCCTTTATTTGCTTCTCCGGTTCCTTCCGAGCCTTCCACTTGGGGCAGGAAAGCTTCTGATGTCCGTCCGCCTTGCACAGAAAACATTTATCTTTGTTGCCATCATAAAATATATTTCCTTTGCGATTGAAGAAATATAATGACGTAGGGATTTCCTTCTTCACATCCATATATATATAAAGGGTGATACGGTCAAAATTTGGTCAATATCAACTTGACGTATTTCTTTCAATTTTGCATTTAAAAAACCTGAACACCCCTCATTTTGAAGGTGTGTGTGTGTGTAGAATGTTGCTCCTATTTTGATTTTGGAATTCACTCTTCAGTTGTCAAAATGCCGTCCAAGCAAGAAGAGCAGCGTATCAAAATTTTGCTCGCGCATCGCGAAAATCCGAGCTACTCGCACGCAAAGTTGGCAAAATCGCGTTGCCAAATCAACCGTTACAAATGTAATTAAAGTGTTTGGGGAACGTTTTTCGACAGCCAGGAAGTCTGGATCGGGGAGAAATCGAAAACCGGAAGCCGCTGAGACGACAAAGAGAGTTGCCGGTAGTTTCAAGCGAAACCCTAACCTCTCTCTCCGAGATGCCGCAAATAAGCTGGGTGTATCGTCTACAACCGTGCATCGAGCCAAAAAACGAGCCGGACTATCGACTTACAAGAAGGTAGTGACTCCAAATCGCGATGATAAACAAAATACGACGGCCAAAGTGCGATCCCGGAGGCTGTACACGACGATGCTGACGAAGTTTGACTGCGTGGTAATGGACGACGAAACCTACGTCAAAGCCGACTACAAGCAGCTTCCGGGACAGGAGTTTTATACGGCAAAAGGAAGGGGAAAGGTAGCAGATGTTTTCAAGCACATGAAACTGTCAAAGTTCGCAAAGAAATATCTGGTTTGGCAAGCCATCTGTACCTGTGGCTTGAAAAGCAGCATTTTCATAGCTTCCGGGACTGTCAACCAAGAAATTTACGTGATAGAGTGTTTGAATAAACGTCTGCTGCCTTTCCTGAAGAAACACGGTTGTTCCGTACTGTTTTGGCCGAATTTGGCATCTTGCCATTACGGTAAAAAGGCCATGGAGTGGTACGCCGCCAACAACGTGCAGGTGGTTCCCAAGGACAAGAACCCTCCCAACACGCCAGAGCTCCGCCCAATTGAGAAACACTGGGCTATTGTCAAGCGGAACCTAAAGAAGACCAAAAAAACTGCTAAGGGCGAGCAGCAGTTCAAGGCAAACTGGCTTTCTGCGGCGAAGAAGGTGGACAAGGTGGCTGTACAAAATCTGATGGCAGGGGTCAAGCGTAAGGCCCGGCAATTCGGATTTGGAAAAGCGGAAGCCCAACTGAATATTTTTCCTGAATTTTATACTAATTGAACTTGAAAAAGAAATTTAATTTGATTTTTTAAATAAACGATTTCACCGATTTACACGCGTTTTCCCTTGACCAAATTTTGACCGTATCACCCTTTATACCGCGTATCCCTGTATATACCTCAAAGCACAGATCAGTTGAAAATTTCTCCCGGATGATGCGTTTATTTTTTCCATATTTCCCCAGCACTTTATCCAGCTCGTTGTCGGGTACCTCTGGTGGCAAGTCATACACACGCACATACTGGATGAATTCACCAGCATGCGACATGCGTACCTTTGCCGAATAGAATGTCAGAGCATGGAGCATCGCTTCCTCTTATTTGAACTTCATGAAGACTCCCCTTTCCTCACCAATGCGATAAACAGCTTCCATTTCAGCCGGATCCGCGTCGAGTGCTTTGGCGAAATTTACAATCTCTCCGATGTTTGGTTTAGCATCATAATGGCTGAAGCTAAACTTGATGGTGTTTTTTACTTCACACATCTTACACCGTAGCAACAAAAGGCACCGAACTGCTAGCAACGAACAAAGAGCAACTATATAATAGCGAGTCTCGAAAACAGGCTATCGCGTGGTTCACACCGAAATAAAAATTCGACTGCTGCTGTAGGCAGCTGTGGGACAACTGATTTAATAGGGGTTTTGATCTAATTTCCGTCATACTAAGCACAACGTGCACCTCTCTTTTCTGAACGAGTTTAAACTAAAAATGGAATTTTTCTGTCAAAGATAACTTCAAAATTTATTCACCTTTCCATACGTACCGTTGGATTTCATAAAGAGCCACAAATTGTTGAAATATTGTTTAAAATCTAATACTGCTTCTTGATTCTAAATTCGTTCTACGAGTTTCAATTCCTCTATAGATTTTCTTCGTCCTACGGATAAACGTAGAAAAAGGGGATTCGCAGGGAGCGCTTCTTTTGTTTTGAGAACAATGAGCGTAAATATTCATACAATGCGCTCTAACAGGATTTATGTTGTAGCTAATGAACTAACGCATCGGAACAAACTTATTATTGATTTGTGTACGGTGAAATCATTGATATTATTGATCTTTTCTGATCGATAGAACGGAAATGGGCAATTACGACGAAGTAGCGCTCTACCCTATATGGATGAATTATCTATTATTGAATAACTATTATTTACGATTATTACATGAAAGAAATAAAATATAAACTACAAACAAAACGTGACTACATAAATCTCAAAAAGACATTCTCACAAATGTATTTCACGCAACCATGAATCTCAAAACCATTAGACACTATAATGATAGTTTGCACATGTTAGACACAAGAAGAGGCCAAAAGGCAAGCGTCTGACACACAAAACCTGTCAAATGTACTTGCAGATAGTCACAATCAACGATTCTATGAATCGCGAGCGCTCACGAATCATAAAATCGCTAATTGTGACACTCTGAAAGCGAAATTGACAGATTTTATGAGTCAAACACCCGCCCTTCAATCTCTTTCCGTATCCAACAAACACAAATCTCCATTACAACATCTAACGAATTCAAAACTCCGAAAATCACTCATCTATAGCAAGTGCGTGGAAGCAACCCTGCATGCAACCATTCTTCATGGTATACTTTTTCTGCCTATCTTTCTATTAGGCCTGTGGACATGTGCTATGCCTTGTTCAGACTGCAGAGTTATAACATGTTATAGCGCTATCTTGATGGTGGTTTCTGTGTTGCAATTATTTGACAACCGTTATAACATGTTATATTATTACTTTATTGGTGAGAAGTTTCTAATAAGCCCTCTCTCCCTAATATGCAATATAATCAGAATTGCTCAGTCTTGCATGAAGCAGCCGATTAATTCTATTCGAGGTTCTATTAACAACCAAGAATTAATTGTTTAAAGCATACTGAAGCATTAAGAAGGTGATATGTGTCACTATAGGAAATCATCATCGTTAAAAATATAAAGAAATTAAACATAACCCTTTGCTTCAGTACCGTCAACCTCCATGTCCATGGGGAGGGGAATAGACATGCCTATTGATGATGATGATTTTTGTAATGGTGCAGTCTTCTAACAGGATGAATTTCTTTTCCACTCATTCGACAGACAACATCCTGTTGGTGTATAGCGAAAAAATAATTTTATATGCAATTATCTTCGGAAATACATTATAAAAATCTAACTTTAATGGAAACCATATAAACGATAGTAAAATGATTTACAATTTATAATAAAAACTGTGCTGATGTTTACACTGAATTTGCAGCCTTTGACTAAATCTAAGCCTACATTTAATTAAACGCTCAAACGCAACGTACACAACAAGAAGAGTTCGCCATGTTAGTTTTTGTTTGTTTTAAACACTTTATAATGCATTCATTTCGCTCCTCGAGCTCCGGTATTTAATTTTGATAAAATGCATTTATACATTTTCGATACTATTGAAAACTGCCCGTTCAAATTATGCGTTAATCTTCTGAGCAGGAAATGCAATTAGCTATAGAGTGTTACGATTTCATTAGGTAAAACAAAGCCAACTGGCTTGTAATAGCAGTCGAGTGAGAGAGTAAAATGAAGCATTTTAACATATGGTTTTTTTTGGCCTAATTACTCGTCCGCGCACTGAGCTTCTTTAGTACGTTCAATCCTTGTTCTTGATACTCGGCTTTGGACATCCAGAATGCGTCTCGATCTTTTGTTACTTCGGCTAGCACGGCGCCACCTGTTGATCAATGCAAAAAGGTAAGAAATAGTATGGTAATTTGAAACATTTGTGTGCTCCCACCGATGAAGACCATATCTTTTCGCCTTGGAGGATCTTCAATACGAATCTTGAATTTGGATAGTTTTTCGCTGTCATTTTTGAGCACGCGCTCCAGGTAGAGCTGTTTGATTTCACGCTCCAAGCGACTAGGAAGTCCAGGATACATGGTAGAACCGCCGGACAGGACAATGTGTTTGTACAACTCCGAACGCATGTCGATGTCCGCTGCCTGGATTGTGGAGAATACTAGCTCGGCAATGCCTTGGCCTTCTACATTGATCAGATGAGGCTGGAAGAGAGCTTCTGGTGCCTCGAATCGTTCGCCGCCCACCTTAATGACACGACCATCTGGTAGCTGTAATGGAAAATTTTCTGTTACTGTCATTAACCGAAGACAACAAATCAAGAAGACTGGCAACTCTTCCATTTTCTCATACGAACGGTATGAGACAGGTACAATCGCGTCATCTGCCGCTCAAAGTTTAATGCTTCGAACGAATTTGATAGCAAAGATTACATCCTCAGAAGAAAGGTTTGTGTATTTGCTCATTTTTCTATGCGTTGCTTCCACCTTCACTCAAGCTCAGCGCTATTGTATCTGTCGCTTGGATTCTGGCAAAGTTGCCAGTCTTCTTGATAGGATGTCTTTGCATTAACCCTTGTTGAATGCGGTTAGAATTCTAAAACTGGTATGCCTTTTTTTCGTACTAGAGCTCTAATAATTAACGACAAGATAGGTTTGTATCATATTTTAGCTCCCTCGTCTGAACATAGCATGTACGATAACCAGAAAGCGAGCGTTACTGTTATAAAGTAGTTTTAGCATTAACAGCCCCAAGTAGGAGATTTGTATTCGCCAATACCGCGCCGTATGGTATACAACTTACCGTGTACGATTCTACAAGAACGGTCGTTTCCAATGCCAACCGTTGTTCCATTTCTATATCATATCCGATATAGCATAGTTTCTCCTTCATCATGCGAACAGTTTCAAAATCGGCGGAATGGTTGAACGCATATCCACGCAGCAGCAACAGTTTGATGAGATACCGCGTGATATCTCGACCTGCAATGTCCAGTCGTCGCGTAAGATGAGGCAGTGCAAATTCTTCGTAAACTGGACAAATATGCGTAACACCATCACCCGAGTCGATCACCACGCCACTGATCAGACCCTGGGCGTACAAGGTCAGCACGGCTTGAATGGCAATGTACGTCGAATCGAAGCCATACTTTTCGAACATCACTTCGATCATCTTTTCCCGATTCTTAGTGGGGTTCATCGGTGGTTCGGTGAGCAAGATTTTCGTATTAGTCGGATCTATGTTCATCTTCTTTGGTCCGAACGTGTAGTCCCACACGTGGCACATGTCCTCCCAATTGCGGACAACTCCATTCTCCATTGGATACGATACTTCTAGTAGAGACCGTAACTGCGAAGCTTCATCGCCTACCATAAGATCCTAAGAGTAGATTCGGTATAGTATTAGTGCCTACCATTACTTAACATATAAATCAACAGGAGCATTTGTAAGAAGTAGGAAAAAATTCAAAAAAATCAAGCGTATAAAAACAAAAAGGGAATTTATAATACATATGCATACAAAAGTGATATATTGCGCCTCGAATGAAAAGTTTCCCTGTCGTTTAATTAGCGAAGGAAAATTCACTACATCATTATAGATGACATGATATCGGGAACAGTTTCATTTCGGAATATGAAAAAAAAAATCAATTGTTTTTAGTTCAACGTCTACTCCTCATCATTAATAGCTTGAATTAAATGTTAAGTTTGTAAAAGCCTCCAAAAAAGATTTTTATTTTTCATTTGAAAAAATATAACGGGTTCTATAAAAAATGAGAATGATTTCAGTGCCGTCCAGCGCTCTTGTGAGAGCATCGTGACTAAGTTCCGTCGTACGGCTGACCAGGGCCCCTTCTCCAATACTCATTGACGTTTTTTTTAAAAGAATAAACATTATTTTTTATAATAAAAAATACTGAATTCGTTGAAATTTTTTTTTTTTATACTAGCTGTATGACTGAAAAAAATCTCATTTTTTATTGAACACCCGTTATACTAAATACCTACGGAGAAAGGAGTGAACAGCCACAGTACAACAATATATGCATACACTATTTGCACGGTTGTTACAGAAATCCTTATTTTTAATCTACAAAAAAAAACGTGACGTTTGTTCATCCGCGTCAGGAAGCCAAATTTGCGGACATAGAAAAAATAATGAATTAAAAACTCAAATACCCATACACACGTTTAGGTCGTACGTGTACGTAAATTTTAATGTTTAAATGTTTTCATGTTGACCTTGGATCTTTAAATTTGTTTTAAGCCTGAAATTAAAACAAATCTCTGTTTAACAAGCTTAATAGGTTTACGCAGAATCTCAAACAATATTCAAATCCGAGATTTAAAAAAATTTCATAAGAAACCAGAACTTTTAAAAGCCATGATTTATTTTTTTTTATTTTGTTTTATTGGGTATCAAGCTGGAGCTGCGTGACAGCTTAGTTTTCAAAACATGACCTATTTTTATAAATTTTGCTTCTATCTTTGACAATACAGCAACTTGGCAACTTGAACACTGGATTCCGTGTGTATTATTTCAATATAGTTATGGACAAAAAATGCTGTGACGTGTGAGCGTAGATACATCCGCGTAGTAAAGGGCGAACACGAAATTATTGCGACACATTCAACAGGGCATAACTTTTTTACCATTGGGTAAAAATCAACCAAATTTTGCACATTTTCTCATTGATGTGTATTGTGTACATGCTGTCAAACTCGAAGTCGTGTTTTTCGATTCAACGAAAATGGAGGTGAACCAACGCGAGTTAAGAGAACAAATTCTTTCCAAACACCTGGAATTTCCTGACCTGTCGCACCGGCAGTTGGGAAAAATGTTGAACATTCACCATTCAACCGTCTCCAGAGTGTTGAAGCGGTTCCAGGAGCGGTTGACGTTGGACCACGGCAAAGGAGCTGGAAGAAAACCGGGACCGGAGAACAAAAAGACGGAGGGAAAGGTGAAGCGGATGATTAAAGCAAATCCCAACGTCTCAAGCCGTGATTTGGCTAAAAAGATCGGCATGTCGCAGAGCTACGTCCAGAATGCAAAGAAGAGAGCTGGACTACATACATACAAGGTACAGAACTTCCCAAACCGCGATGAGCGGCAACAATCGACGGCTAAAACTCGGGCACGGAAGCACTACGAGAAGATGCTGACAAAATATGGCTGCTGTGTGATGGACGACGAAACGTATATAAAAGCCGATTTTAAGCAAATTCCGGGGTTGGAGTTTTTCACCGGCAAGAGCAAGTTCGATGTGGACGACAAATTTAAGAAGAAGAAAATGTCGAAGTTCGCCTCCAAATATCTCATTTGGCAGGCCATCTGCTCTTGCGGACTGAGGAGTGAGCCTTTCGTGACAAAGGGCACAGTAAATGGCGAGATACACATCTGAGTGCCTCGAGAAGCGCCTTTTGCCGTTCTTGCAGCAGCACGACGCAGCTCCGCTATTTTGGCCAGATTTGGCATCATGCCACTATTCTAAAAGTGTCCTGGAGTGGTATGAGGCCAATTCTGTCCATTTTGTTCCAAAGGACATGAATCCGCCAAACTGTCCGGAGCTGCGCCCGGTGGAGCAGTACTGGGCAATAATGAAGCGGGAACTTCGGAAGAGCAAGAAGACAGTCAAAGACGAGAAGGACATGTTAAGGAAATGGAAAAAAACTGAGAAACTGGTACCGGATGACACTGTAAAGACTTTGATGGAGGGCATCAAGCGAAAATGCGTTCAATTTTACACTCAAGGCTCCATCGATTAACTTTTCTTTTGATTTTTGAAGTAAATATATGTATAAAAGTAATAATATAATAATATAAGAGTCTAAACATTATAAGAAAATTGGCATGACATTTTCGGTGTCGCAATAATTTCGTGTTCGCCCTTTAAACCAATTGAATAAGTAAATCTGTTTCGAACGAAATATCTAAATTATTTAAGTTACGAAAACCACGCGAATTCCGAAAGCCGTGCGAGACAACCGAAACGAGAAAAAAAGGCTTATTATCATTTAAAGAGTGCCAAGAAAATAAATGTGATAGCCTGCGTGATAACCCTAATAAAAATGTTATGGTTAATTTGCTTAACGACGTGTTCGGGGTATCATCCAAACCATTTTTGGAATAGTTCGATCATTTTGGTTATCGTTCGCTTATGGTATTTTTTTTATTAGGGAATGTTTGCACCATTGAGCAATATAACAAAAAAAAAAACAAAAAAAAAAACGTTTTCGAGTTTTTTTTTATTTATTCAAATTTCTCAGAGTCTCAGAGTCTTAAACGGCCTCCACACGGTTCCGGAATGCACGGCAGGTAATGTAGTCTGGATCCATTTCTCTCCAGGTACGGGTCAATGTTTGTCTGAGGCTTGCTGTACTCGGGTGGCGTTTAGAACAGGCCTTGGCCTACATGACGCGCCATATTGAGTAATCCAGCGGATTAAGATCGGGGCTGGATGGCGGCCACATATCCTTCGCCCAGAACGGAAGATATTCCTGCAACCACTTCTGAGTGCGGTTCGAGGTGTGGCACGGAGCCTCATCTTGTTGAAATACAACATTTGGCTTCGGACCGTACTGTTCTTTGATCCACGGAAGAACATACTTACTTAAAATCCCGATGTAGACCTCTGTGTTGACCTTTTCGCCTTCTGGAATGAACACCGGGTCCATTTTTTTTGCCATCGGAAGCCACCAATCCAAATACCATAACGCTAGCAGGATGCTTGGTCAGATACACGTTCTTGTGCTCGTCGGCCACGTCTTTTACCGGAAGAGAACTAATATACCGGTCGGTTCTGGAATTTGATACGGGATCGACGGTAAACATGCTCTCGTCGGTGAACAGGATTACCGGATTTGTTCGCTTAAGGAAGTTCAAGATTTTCTTGCATCGTTCAACTCGTAGCTCCCGGATGCGATTGGTAATCATGTGAGTTTTTTTCCGTGCCCTCGACTTCGCCCCGAAATCTTCCTTTACGATCTTCCGTGCCGTAAAGTCACTGATCCCGTGTTCCTTTGCCATTTTCCTTATTGAACGCACTGGATTCACCCGAATTTTCCTTTTGATAGTAGCGATAACCCTCGGAACACGAGCTGACCTTGGACGACCTGTGGCCACCTTCGCGGATAGTTGTCCTTTCTTTTCTTGGTCTAAAACCCATTTGACGGTCCACCGGGACACTCCCACGGCGATTGAAATGTCTTTTTGCGACATTTGCGCGTGGGTCAAATCACGAATACGCTGCCACTTCGTCATGGTGCAACTGTCAAACTATGTAAATCATTTTCTTTTATATACAGCCTCTTACGGTATGAGCTCTCCGCTTTTTTTTTTTAACGCAACAAACAATATCACGCATACGGTATGTTTGCAAGTTGATTTTTTTTGGTTTACTCACCAGATTTTCTACTTATTTGAATATTGAGCATTGTTTCAAATTAGTTATTTTATCGCACGTATCAATCATTTCAAAAATTCGCGACCGTACCGAACAAATTCTAAACTAAAGGGTGTCCACGATGAAATTGCCACACACAAAATTGATTCGCAAAATTCGAGTTTTCATCCGATTGCCATCAAATTTTCAGGGATTGAGAAATAACTATTAAACTTCATTTTACCATTTAACTCGTATTTTATTTACAGTCCATACGCAAATGCCCGCACCTTGGCCTTAACCCCGGCCATAAGATTCTGCACAACCTGTGAATCAACCGTTTTTTGCATGTAAACCCATACTTTCTTCAGTTCCTCGACTGTCTTCACTACCTTAGGTCGTTTAAGAAGGTGCTGATTCATAATCGCCCAGTACTTCTCGATGGGGCGGAGCTCCGGAGTGTTGGGAGGGTTGAACATTTTCGGCACGAAATTGACCTTATTGTCCGCATACCACTTCAGCACGTCCTTGGAGTAGTGGCATGAGGCCAAATCCGGCCAGAAGATTGTTGGGACGTTGTGGGCCTTCAGGAGAGGAAGCAGCCGCTTCTGGAGGCACTCTTTTATGTACACCTGTCCGTTCATCGTGTCCTGGGTCACGAAAGGTGCACTCCGCTTCCCGCACGTGCAGATGGCTTGCCCAACCAGGAATTTCTTCGCAAATTTGGACATCTTCTGAGTGCGGATATGCTCCGGAACGCTGAACTTATCCTTGGCCGTGAAAAACAGGTTGCCGGGGATCTGTTTGAAGTCGGCCTTCACATATCTTTCGTCGTCCATGATGCAGCATTCAACTTTCGTCAGCATGTTGAGGTACAACTTCGTGGCACGGGTTTTGGCGGACTTGTTCTGCTTCTCGTCGCGATTAGGGGCCTTTTGTACCTTGAACGTTCGAAGCCCAGCCTTAGTTTTGGCCTTCTGGACAAAACTTCGGC